TTTGAAGCAGATCTGATAAATTCCTGGAGCAGTTAGTTCTAAACAAGCCCAAGAGTCAAAATGACCACAAATGGCCGCCAAAGTGCAAATTTTAAATGAAAATAGCCGACTTCCTGTGGGATTTGAGGTATGGTCCGGGCTTTTTGTACGCCCGGCACATTATACATGCCTATTGAGTTTCGTACATGTCGGTGAAACGTGGCGCCGGGGCTGATTTTTTTATCCTGTAGGGGCGCTACAAGCGGACAAACGGATTTTTGGTATGTGCTTCAGGCACCACTCTACACGTACCCTGTGAATTTCATATTCATAACTATTGTGATTTATTGCCAAGAGCACATACTGGTATTTTTTGTCCTTTTTAGGTGAGCCTCGGAGCCATGGGAAGCAGCGTACCAGTTTATCTTAATCACACTTGCCGATGCAGATATAAACTCCTTCATTTTAAAGAGCGCCACCTAGTGGTGATGACCTGAAATTGTGCACGATACATAATGAAGACATGGAGAACTATGGACCCAAGGATGGTGCAAATCGGACATACCACTGTGGAGAAATACCCCACTTCCTTTTTGACGAAAAATCAACAGGAAGTGCTAATTGTATAACTTCCTTATGTTTTATAATATCAAAATTCTTCAAATTACTTTTGTTGTAGGACGGTCCACAGATGAAACGTGCAAAGTTTCGTGCGCATCGGACAAAGTGTGTAGGAGGAACACGAAAAGTGATTTATGGACATTTTGCGCTCTAGAAAAAAATCTAGGCGGAAGTGGGCGTGGCCTATATGGGGAGGTTCAGCTCCATTCACCGAACGCGTGGATATAAGGTTTTTGAATGTGAGACAAACTATGCCGGAGTTATTAGCGTATCAATTGGCCTACAAACAGCGCCACCTAGTGGCCTTCCTAGTGGCTGACCTGCATGTGACGCATAGAATCTCCAATTTAAATGAGGCTTGACAAATTGCCAAATAAATGCGAATATTATAATTGTTAAGGTGAAAATGAGCAAAGTCGCTAAAAATAATAATAATAATAATAATAATAAACGAAGGAAAACAATAGAGACCTTCCGTTCTACTGCTGGTCCCAAAATATACCGGTTATGGCCACCCCCCCTCGTGGCCCAATTGTGCTAAAGTGCCCTCTTGGGAGCCAAAACGCGTGCTAAAGTGCCCCCTTGAGAGCCAAAACGCATGCTAAAGTGCCCTCTACAGTGGTGAGGATGCGCTATATGTGCCCTTTTTTTTCTTTCCGCCCCTGCCCTTCAAAAAGTCTGTGCACCAGACTGTTAGGGGGTGCTATATGCAGTGAAAAATTATGTACATATGTACATACAGTAGGGTGTAGGGTCGCACCCTACTTCCCCCTCGTTTCAAAGCAGGTGACAATGTTTCAGGTCATGTAAAAAAAATAAATGAAAGTTAATTGGGATAGCAATCAGGTATGAATGGTCATTTGGTAATTTTAGTACTGACCACTACCCACCACTGAGAAAACATCACTATAATTATTGTCTCATAATATGACCATGTCCATGTGTCTGTTGCCATCGAGCTGGCTGTTTATTGCTAACCATTATTGATCATCTGAATTCTGCCTTTACAGATCATCGCAATAACACAACCAAAGGTTTCTTTTTTTATTATTCTTTATTTATTTTATTCTTCTTCTAGCTTTACAAAAATATTCCGAGGCTTTACCACCACTCTATGGACTGGGGTAGAGATAACTCTGATATGCATGTAGCCAAAGAAAACATTGACAGATGGCAATCAGATTTATGATCTGAGCAATGGACAATCCTATGGACAATATGACTGAACTGAAGTGTTCAAATCTCATCTGGATTTTTATCTGGAAACAACTTGAAATGACAAGTTTAAATTGGACCATTCTCTTGCTCTGGGAGAACTGACATTATTTCTCTTCTTTATTTTTTGTTAGATTGATGTTTTTCTTTTTGACTGCTGGTGAACAAGAATAGGGCTGGGATTCTAGAATTATACAATTTTCATACATTTTCAAATTGCGGTTGTTTATTTACCACAGCCAGGCCTTTCGTTCCATTCCTATTTCTATTTCTAGTTTTATCAGATTTAATTAGTGCATTTCATTAACATCTTAGCAATAGTTAAGTTGTTTTTTGATTAGCTTGGTTTGGTTGTAAAATGGGTACCTTATACAATACACTAAAACATTGTCTTGGTTGTGGCTCATGGATCAGGACAATAATATTGCTCCTATTGCCTGTCTGACACTCTTACTGATTCTCTGACCAAGGGAAATCACACAACAACAACTACAACAACAACAACTACTACTACTACTACTACTACTACTACTACTACTACTACTTCAAATTTCTCTCAGATAGCAAAGCACAGCAGGGAGCGAACAGACGATAGCTTCTCACTTCAGAGGCATGAATTCATTTTGGGCCATTTCATGAAAATTACTAGCTTGCTGCTCTATTGATATAATATGGTACTGGTTCTGCCTGTGGCTGCATTCACACATACATGCACACACTATGGGAAAATCATTCCCCCCCCCACTGCCATAAGACTTTCTAATAATTATTGACTCTTAATCAGCTGCTATAACATTATAATTTCCCTACGGGGATAAATAAAGTATTTCTTTCTATCTATCTATCTATCTATCTATCTATCTATCTATCTATCTATCTATCTATCTATCTATCTATCTATCTATCTATCTATCTATCTATCTACCTACCTACCTACCTACCTACCTACCTACCTACCTACCTACCTACCTACCTAAAATGAAACTATAAAATATAACTGAACAAGTCAGAGACAATAGACTCCAATAGTTATAGTGGACAATAGTATCCACTCAGGTCCAGCCTTCTGTCATTAGAGTAGTGAGTAGTACAGAATGTTTATGGTGAACGGTTGAAACAACAAAAAATACTACTACAACTAACTAACTGTCTAACTGTCAAGTTTCTACAAGTATATACTTGACCAGGGTTGACTTTTAAACTACTTGTGATGTCACAAATCATGCTTGTAGGTATTTTTCTGTACTTCTGCACAGTAAAGATGAATCATCACACTGTAAGAACAAGAAGAAAAAATGTTTTTTGACTGAAGGGGGACTTGTAGAGTTTAAACCTTTTGTTAAACCTCAGTTCAGTTTCTACGAGGGCTTCTCTGCCGAGGTGTCTTGAGTAGGCTTACCAACTTTTTAAGCTAGATAGAAAACAATGTAATGCTTTGTTATGCGTACTACAAAGAGTTTTTTACTGGTTATGAAACAGTCTCAGTCTTTCACATTTTATTGTGAAGAATTCATTATAAAGAGAACAAAAAAGGTGTTCCCATGCTTATTTTCCATACAGGTCCATAAAGGTCAAAAGGACACAGGGAAAAGAAACTAAAAATAAATGGATGAAAATTAAGTAATAAATAATAAGGAAAGTAATAATGATCGTAAAAACAGAAATGACTCTCACGAAAAGATGAATCACTCATACTCGAAGAAGGGTTCACAAACAGGGTCTGCTTTGGATACGTTAGGTAATTTGAAGCCACCAGGTGTAGATTTTGTGATACACTGTAGCATTTATATATAAATTATCTATAACTATCCTCTATCCCCTTATGATCTGACAATCCTCCAGTGAAATGATCTCAAAGAAGTATATATCTTCATATTGTATAAAAAAGCTAAATAACTCACACTCTGTTCTGCAGAGACAGAGACTCACAACTTTCCGTGTGACATCTGTTGATAAGATCTAAATCTATCCTATAAATCAACCAGCCAGCTCTCTCTTCATAACATCTAGAGGTTCAGTTACAGATTAATTATCATCATTAAAAATAAATATCTATCTTGCCATCACCACTGGTTAGATACCATCAGCCACCACAAGTCTAACTTTATATTAACTGTTCAATCAAAACATAGTTAGGGTAATTGTGCAAGGAAGTCAATCTTCTTGTGATCTGTGAACTACTTCTGTAGTCTAGACATCGTGTGCCTGATGAGTTTTTGCGTTTTGGAAAGGTCAGATGAAACTCTGTATCCAGTACTATATTCAGGGCTAGTTGTCGAGCAGAGATCAAATTACTCCGGTTCTCTAGGATCTAATTAATCCAAACAAAGGCAATAACAGGGGGTTATCAACAAGTTTTTCTAATCGGATATGTGCCTGTGTACAATGAAAGGGCTGCAAAATTAATAGCATTAAATTTCAATACACTATTATAATATCATCAACATTAGCCCTATGATGTCCAAACCAACAATCAATTGTAATTTCTATAGAGGGCACACGGCTTATGCAGACAATTGATGACAAATACAAACAAACAAATATACCATCGCCTTCCTCTCTATAAACTTACTATACTAGAAAAATATACAAAGAAAGTTTAAAAAACAAACCGACATTCACAATCATTATTAAGCCACATAAAAGAAATAGCAACAGAATAAAACATCACCAATGCAGATACCAAACATAAAGTGTAATAAATACTCAAGTTATGTTACATAGCCTACTTCAATATAATTTAAGTACATAAACAAAATGTTAATTCCATAACGGAACTGACAGAACTTTTAAAGAACTTTGTTTGAGCCATCCATCCACCTCACCAACTCCATATGGGGACGTTCTGGCTCCTACTAAATCACCTTACATCCAGAAATGATGCTACAGGGTAACAAAAAAAAGTCTAAAGCATCCATGGCAGGAAACTTTATATACTTAAAAATCCTTGTGTAAGTGCAGTCAGAGACCGAGGTCGTCTGTTCCAAAGTCTTTATTCATTCTCCTTCACATTCTTTATTTCTTATTTCATGTCTTTAGCTCATGACGTTTAAGAACAAGAAGAAACACAGATTTCTGACTGGTGCGGGACTTTAAAAAACTCCAAGTCCCACAAAACCTTGCGTTGCAGAGGAGACGCCCGGGACTAGGATTGGCTGATTGCGTGTCATGTGACACATCCGCCTTCTCCTCCCTGTCGGTTCGGCATCGGTTTGCTTGATTCTCTTACATCCTGTTTTTCTTCTCCTGAGGCTACAGAAACGGTCGAAGCTCTGCCGGGACAACTCACCGAGCACAGCCTGCTGAACTAACAACACGGTACATTCACCGGCCGTAAACACATATTGTGAAACTGTTTATTATCAACTTCAGAGTGATACACGTTTGATTAGGTCAGAGCCCTGTGAGTCGTAACGTTAGCCTATGTGGCGTGCAAAGGTCACAGTGAGAGCTGTTACGTACTCGGTAGCTCTGTACAACTCGTATCTTGGTAAGTTACATTTATTTTCCGCTTTCTTGAACAGCACCGTTTATCTTTTGTTTGACGCTGTTAAACCGTTACATTTATCGGAGGCTCGTGGTGTATTTTAAAGGAAAGCCACACTTTCCTAAGTAGTTTATTTGTAAGTGTATTAACTAGGTTAAACCCTCAGAATAAACAAGCAAAGGCACATACTGTGCTCTTTACACTGCTATTCACTTAAACTTAAACATCACATTTTCAAAGCATGTTGTAGTGCAGTAGTTCCGACCATTTTCCTTAAGGGAGCCCTTTTCTATGATTGAGTAAACTAAGTGACACACTTTGTGGATATTTCATTTTATATTCAGTAACAATAACTGCAGGAAGTTTGAGATTTGGATAAATTCCTGATATTTTTTCTGTTTTCCTCTTATTGTTCCATTAGCTCTTTGCTTGTTTTAACTTCTCTACTGCAGGATGAGACTGTGAAGAGAGTGAAGGCTCTGTGAATATAGCTTGTGCTCAGATCTTCAAAGTTTACTTCTTAAATTATTATCTAAATTCATAAATAAAAAAACAAAATAAAGACCTAATGTGTATACTTTTTATATATTTTTTTTACATCCCTTAAAATCAAGAAGGCCTTGTGAGGGAGCTTTGGTGACCCACTGTCGCTTGTAGTTAACACACTGTTATTAGTTCAAATATGTATCTCTTTACTAATGCCTTGGGAACAGTACTTTCAATGTCATCATATCTCCATAATGTTCATAATACAGAACCTGTTGTTTTCACACAACATGACTTTTCAACAACACTGGGTCACACACTACAAAATCTTTCACAAGGGGTCCGACTGGTCGGTTTCATCAGGAGTCATTACCAACACCAGTCAATCATTAAGTCAACACCATTAATAAGCACCTCATGTTTAATTGGTAAAGTAGTTTAAAAACACACAGAGGACAATGGGTCCCAACCTGGGAGGTGCCAAAGATTCACAGAGGGTTTAGCACCTAACAACATGGTAGAAGAACAATCAGAATCAGAATCAGAAATACTTTAATAATCCCAGGGGGAAATTACTTTTGTTACAAACTCCAGATATACATACAACATATATTAAGAACGTATATATAATTAAAGCTGCAAGCAGCGATGAACGGGCCCTCGCACTCCACGTAACTCGGCGTTTGCTGCGGCCGCGTCACGTTCGGACCACAACATGAAAATTTCACGTAAATCGGATCAAAATCGCCATGCAGCGCTTACGTCCTGTTGCCAGTAGGTTTCGCTATCACTATATCGGAATATTATCACATAGATGTGTTCAGGGCGGGACTCTAATCAAGTGAAGTTTGGAGCCGAATGGAAAATGTACACTCAAGTTACAGCAAACTCGTGTTTTGTGGCGTTACATCAAAATTTCACGACACGCCACAGACACACCGACTCACCACATTCATCACATATCATCAACAATGTGTTTGGCATTTTATAAGTAAATTTCAGCTTGATCTGATCATCCTGCTAGGAGTAGAACATGAAAGTATAAAACGTGATATTTCCTGTTGCCACTAGGTGGCGCTCTCACTATTAGTGAATATTATCACATAGACGTGTTCAGGGCAGGACTCTTATCAGACTTGTAAAGTTTCATTGAGATCGGATCATGCATGCAGAAGTTCTGACAACTCCCCTTTTCATGGCGAATCATCGAAATTGGACACCATGCCACAGGGAAGCTGTTCGACGGAATGTCGGAAATAGTACAACTTTTAATCATGAATGTCTTTAGATGGCTGTGTCCAAATCTGAAGTTGTTCCGATCAATTCCCTAGGAGGAGTTCGTTCAAATACAACGTGTGCAAATTGCCAAAAATGGCAGCTTAATCCAAAATGGCCTACTTCCTGTTGGGTTTGGGATATTGCTCTCACTGAATTTTTTGTTTTTCGTCTGGATAAGATCTACGAGTGTGCCAATTTTTTTGCATATTGGTGAATGGGGCCCCGGATGGTACAGTTTATGGGCCCTTGAGGGGCCATTTTGCCATGCTCATAGTGGACCCCTAGAAAATACGAAATGTTTCCCCATGACTGGCATGTGCGCCGCGTTTCATAAGCGGCCTCCAAATATGCGATCGAAGTGGCAGAAAAATATTAATAATTCCTTCCATTACAATAGGGCCTTTGCATGATTTGTGCTCCGGCCCTAAAAAACAGTCCTTTCAATTACAATAGGGCCTTCACACGATTTGTGCTCGGGCCCTAAAACTATATATATAAAACATAAAATGTACAGTCTAATAATGTGCAAAAAGTGCAAAAATGATTGTCCGTGTTTGAGTCAGATTACAGAGAGGGGGTGTCTGACTCTCTGAGGGAGGCGTTGTATAGTTTGATGACCACAGGCAGTCCTGATTTCCTGTGGCACTCTGTGGTGCATCTGGGTGAGAGGAGTCTTCTGCTGAAGGTGTTATTTGATGCTACTGGAGTAGCATTTTTCATGTAGTATTAAAATGGTAGTCTTGATTCTGCTATGATATAAAACTGAACTTGGGGCAGCCACCTCTACTATGAAATACTGCTGGAAAGATTGAAGATTGATGGATAACAAAAAGACCCTGAAGACAAAAAAAACCATTAACATTATGCACATATTTAGGGACTGAGCCAGTGTCAAACACTGTGAGGTCTCTATTTGCTATATAAGTTATTTGTGGGAAATGTTCACTGCACTTTTGACCCCCAAAACATATACTTCGGATGTGTTTTATTTGGTCAGGCCTGGTTAAAAATTGGATATTCCATGTGTCACATTCGGCTTGATGGCTTCGATGAATGGAGCTCCCTATATAGGTCACGCCCACTTTCGCCTAAATTTGTTTTCCGCTAGAGTGCGAGATGTCCAAAAACTACGTTTGCATGTTCGAACCATGCACTGTTGTCTGATTCGCATGAAACGTAGCATCTGTAGACAGTCCTGGCAAAAAAATTAATTTAAAGTATTTTGATATTTAAAACAATAAGCACGTTATTAAATTAGCACTTTCTGTAGATTATGGTGAAAATAGGAAGTGGAGCATTTCTCCACATTGGTATGTCCAATTGACACCAAGCTTGGGCATGTATGATTAAAACGAAACTTGGTACAATACTTGCCAATGGCTCCCTGAAGCTTGCTAAAAAATGTGTCAACATTCCGCCACTAGGTGGCGCTCTGGTGGCAGTGTAAATCACTCTGTGGGGGATGTAATAGTTATGAATATGAAATTCACATGGCACGTGTAGACTGGTGCCTGTAGCTCACATACCAAAAATTGTGTTTGTTGTGTTTGTAGCGCCCCCTACAATATTTCAACAAAGCTGCCCGAGCGCCACGTTTCACCAATATGTATGAAACTCGGTAGGCACGTGTAACGTACTGAGACCTACAGAAAAGCCTCTTGGATCCATGCCCCAAAACCCACAGGAAGTCGGCTATTTTGATTTTCATTTTTAGTCTCAGCGGCCATTTTGTTTGTCATTTTCACTTTTTCGCCTTGTATTTGAACGAACTCCTCCCAGGGAATTTATCGAATCTGCTTCAAAACTGGTCAGTACAGTCAAAAAATTTAGCTGACTGAACACCGTGCTATTTGCATTTTTCGCATTGTATTTGAACAGAATCCTCATGGGGGACCTAGATCTACTACAAAATTGGACAGTACAATCAAAAGATTAAAAGTTGTGCTATTTGCGACTTTTTTTGCGTTGTATTTGAACAAACTCCTCATTGGGTATTTGTCTGATCTACTTCAAAATTGGAAAATCAAATGCTACTGTACGTTGAGGGGCGTGTCTGTGGCGTGCCGTCAAAGTTGGCCAGCTTGAATTGAATGTCAAGCTGTGATGCCATTTCCGGCATTTCAGGGCTTCAATTTAAACTAACTCCTCCTATAGATTTTATTGGATTGACTTTAATTTCGATTACTGCAATCTAGACACATTGGTGATCAAAAGTTAATAAAATATTTACTGTGCGTCAAATGGCATGTCCGTGGCGTGGTGCTGAATTTCCACGTTTCGCAGTGAAGAATCTCGCTATGAAAGCGTATGTCTTTTTCACAGTGTCTGACCAACGTAGAGTGGTCTCCCTCAGCTTCTGGCGATTAGGGCTTGGGAGTGGGGTGATGTGGCGTGGCGCGGCTGTGACGGGCGACCGCCGTGCAGGCCCCGACTTGGTTGATGGCGAGGTCCTGCCCCATGCTGCTTGCAGCTTTAATTAAACGTATTGTTTGAGTTCACCTTACAGTCCCATTATGTTTCTCTAATGTCTCCTCTTCCTTCCTTCCTTCCTAGATCCATTATGAATTTCTTCCTGGAAACAATCAAAGTGCTTCTGCTGTCCATCTGGTACAATGTGGAATCTTTCATCCACCTCTTTGTGCCCATGAAGAAGAAAAACATAGCTGGTGAGGTTGTGCTGATAACGGGGGCAGGAAGCGGGATCGGCCGCCTCATGGCTCAGGAGTTTGCAGCTCTTGGCACTGTTCTGGTGTTGTGGGATATTAACCAGGAGGGGATGAAGGAAACAGCTAGACTTGCTAAACAGAGCGGAGCCAGCAGAGTCCACTACTATCTGTGTGACTGCAGCGACAAGAACGAGGTTTACAGAGTAGCTGACCAGGTAAGGTTCCTCAAATAGTGTTTTTTCTTCAAATTAGCTCTGTTTCTTGAACCAGTTTCGTTCAAAATTCTTGGAACCTTGGTATGCTATCCAGCCCTCGATTCCACCAGTTTTGAGTGGAACCAGTATCATCAACAGAGGGCGCTGCACGATGCACAACAACCTACAGAATATGAGACGCCCACTTTTGTTGGTTTTTGGGTTCCCAACCAAATTATTTTAAGTAATGCAAACTGTTTAAAACTAGGTGCCAGTTCCTTGTTGTTGAAAAAACAGGGTAGCCACTACACTATTTACAGGCTGCTGCCTGTTTGGCTCTCTAATCCCTTGTAACCTGTTATTGTTGTTGGGGTACGCCAGCTGCCGAAAAGGAGGTTTGGCTGTCATTGGAATCACCTACAAGAGCACAGTACTCATCAAAGTAATTTCATAGATCAGGGCACAACAACAGCATTAAAAAGAAGTCTGATGGGGCAAGAAACAGGGGTAGTCTCAGGATTCTTCACAGAATACAATGGGCCTCATTCCCATTGTTACCAACAGAATTGGTTGGTGCGGACGTTTCATGCGTGATTTTTTTTAATAGACAAAAAATAAAACATTGTTTTTGTTGTAGAAATACTTCTTTGTTGTTTTTGTCACTGTAATTGTTTGATTGGGAAACACATAATGCGGCCCACCATAGTCTAATTTCCCCCGCCATAGTTTAATAACAAACCGAAAATATTTTTTCACTTGTCTCTAACATTGTATTTTGCACTGTTTCAGCAAAGCATCTCTCACTCACAGTACATATATCTGCGATAAATTAACTAGTGGACCATCTCCCCTTGCTCTCTCCCTCCTGTACAGTCTAGTGGCGGCTGTGGCTCAGAGGTAGAGCTCTACTAACTGGAAGGTTGTTGATTCGATTAACTCCAAATTGCTCCCGATGCTCGTCATCAGTATGTGAATGCATGAATTAGTTTCTTTTGAATGGACTTTGTCATCACTGTGTGACGTGTGAAAAGGCGAATGTGGCATGTAGATTAAAAAGCGCTTTGAGTGGTCAGAAGACGAGAAAGGCACTATACAATAGTACAATCAACACGGACCAGGTAAAGCAAGAGTGAACATTAGTAAACAGATCAGCTGGTGCCTATGTTTTGATAGGCTACGTCATTAACTACGAGGCTCATCCACACACGGTTCACTTGCTGTTGTTAAAACGGAATCTCTGGTGAAAAAAATCCCAAATGAGAGTTGTGGTTTTCGGTCAACTTTATAAAACATACTGCCGAGAAAAATCAACAGCCTAGTCTTTCAGATATTTTCACTAGATAAATCCCCCCCCATACTTAAACTATCAACCTGTGGGAAACACCATTTCTTGCTAGGTTTAGTTACCTTTCAGATCCTCTACTAGCGACAAATTTAGCAACTTATTCATACCATCAAGCTCTTCTAACAGCAGTGCCGGACTATCCCTCTCCTCTTGGGCTGTGCGCAGACACTTTTTCCTTCTCTCTCACTCGGGTTCTCTGGATTAGGGTGTTCCTATAGCTTATATGTAAATAGTTTGTGTGAGCTTGTAAATATTTAAATAGTTTCTTCAATCTTCTCCCTGCCTTTGTAGATTTTTTTATTTATTTTTTTACTTACAATATCCCTGTTTGTTAAGCTTACAGTGCCCCTGTTTAAGTTTATTATTATTTAGTCAAATAATGACAGTGTTCAAACTGTGTGTACGTACATGTCCATTACCGTATACCAATCAGAAACAGGTCTACATTTGCTCTGCAGTTTGCAACGATTTGAAATAAACAGTAACTCAATCAATGACTGAAAGAATAATGACCTCTGAAATGACCATATAGTTTAATCTAGGGATGCACGATAACTTTTTTTTTTTTAAACCGATACAGATAACCGATAACTTTCAGCTCCTAAAGGGCGATACCGATACCCGATAACACACAAATATACATAATATATATGATCATGACCTAAGATCATGACATTAATACAATGAACAAACCCAAAAACACTTTTGTTTTTAAATGTTTAAATTTAAATGTTGATATTTATTTTTTCCAATGAAAAACTACTGGCAAGCCTCTCAAAAAAAAAAAAAAGGCCCCTTGAACTGATGCAAATACACACAGCGGGATTACAAACTGAAAAAGTGTATTCCAGAAGTTCAAAAATAATAATTATCGTGCACCCCTAGTTGAATCAACAAAACAGTGTAAATAAAAACTAAACAATATAACCTTCATCAAGGTAGGATATTGCAGGGCTGTTTCTAGTTTTAGCTAGTCAGACCCAATGAACAGACAACTGAGTGTGCATCTGTGTAGTTGTATGTAAATCAGGGCGTTGCCTGGAAAAGGCACCACCCAGCACTGGACAATGTATGTGATTATTATTCTGTTATGGTACTGCCTTCAGGGTAATGTATTTGATTACATAAAAGTGTATCTTATGTGTGTATACTCGGTATGCTATCTGCACTTGGAGGACACGCCTCAAGAAGTGGCCACAATCAAAGATTCAAAGGTTGTTTTGTTGGCTGGTACCCGATGTGGTGGCTGCTGGGAGTGTGTATGTGTCAAATAAATATACACAACAAATAAACAACTTTATACTGTATGCTTGGAAAGTCGACTCAAGGAAATACATATCTGGATTTGAATCTAACTGAGTGTGTGCTCTAGGCAGGGGAGGGATGACTGTTGTGTAAACAGACACTTAATTGGCTTAATACACTAGATGTAGGCAGACCCAGGTGAATACTGAGAGCAGGGTCTGAACCACTTTAGGGTAAAGCGCTGACCCCAAAAATGTTCTTAATCGAAGAGTAGTCGACTAGTCATCACACATTTTTATTAATTTAATTATTCTTTCTCTTTTTTTAACAGCTGACCATTAAGTGCTATCAGAAAAAACTGGTAATACATCCGCATGTGTCAGAACAACCAGCAAGGAGACTGAACATTTATTTCTACACAGTATAAAATCACACAGATCTCATTCAAAACATGGAATAAATTATTCCAACTTCACAAAAACAAATACTTGCTCACTTATCAATGATAGATGATGTATAACGTTAACAATTACTCACAAATGAACTATAAAATCGCTCATCTACTGCTTCAGGCCTCTTCTGTCCCTGCCTGAACCTGTCGTGTCTTTGTGGTTCGAAGTCCTGGTCAAAGTCGCTGTCACCTGCCCTCTGTCAGTCTTGGAGGCTATGGTTCCGATTGCCAAGCTCTGGTTCTTGTTCTCATTCCGGCCCCGCTCCTCAGCGGCATTCTCTGCTGGGTCCCAGTGCAGAGATGCTAATACAGGAGAGATATGATTTCTGTTCCTAGTTCCTGTCAGTACTCTTGCTGCAGCATTCTGAATGAATTGTAGTGTCTTAATGGACTTATTGGGGCAGCCTGATAATAAGGAGTTGCAGTAATTGGATTAGTTTTTCTGCATCCGTCTGTGACAGGATGTCTAATTTTTGTAATATTACATAGATGAAAAAAGGCAGTCCTGGAAGTTTGTTTTATGTGGGAATTAAATGAAAAATCCTGTCAAAGATAACTCCAAGATTCCTGACAGTGGTGCTAGAGGTCAAATTAATACCATCTAGAGTAACTATATCTTTAGACAGTGAGTCTCTGTGGTTTTTTGGGTACAAGAATTTAGTTTTTTTCTGAATTTAACATCAGAAAATTGCAGCTCATCCAGGGTTTTATGTCCTTAAGACATGTTTGTAATTTAGATAATTGATTAATTTCATCGGGCTTGATTTATAGATATAACTGTGTATCATCTGCATAACAATGAAAGTTAATCTATAAAGTGAATAGAATTGGTCCAAGTACAGAACCTTGTGGAACTATTTATGGAAGATTGATCGTTAACGTGTACAAACTGAGAACGATCTGATAAGTATGACTTAAACTAGCTTGGGTGGTTCCTTTAATGCCAATTTGACGCTCAAGTCTCTGTGAACGAATACTATGGTCAGTGGTTTCAAATGCAGTACTAAGATCTAATAATACAAGTACTGAGACAAGTCCATTGTCGGAAGCAATCAAAAGGTCATTATTAATGCTGTGATGAACTCTAAATCCTGACTGAAAATCCTCAAATAAGCTATTGCTATGTAGAAAGTCACACAACTGTTTGGTGACTACTTTCTCCAGAATCTTAAAGAAGAAGGGGAGGTTAGAAATTGGTCTATAGTTGGCTAAAGCCCCTGGGCTCAACACATTCTATTGACATCAACCTGAAAAATCAATGAGGTAGCTTCTGTCCATCTATCACAAGACAATGTAAAACACTGAAAAGGGAATGACAACATAAAGATACTGTTTATGACTACCTTTAGATCCACTGGTGCACTTACCGTCGCTGTTCTGAATAAAACCAAGCTCGAGATAACTGTCAACATATCTTCTCAGTTTAGCTGGTTTGAGCTTAGCATCACTTGATGAAGTGGACGGTCTTAAATAGGCATCCATCGCCACTAGCTAGCTAAACATCAGCAGGAGCTGTACGCTAAGTGTGTCCTGAGCAAAGTGATGCAGGCGAGTGATGTGTGTCAGATTTACGTGGTACAATCCTTTGAGAGTTTTGATTGGCACAAAGCTAACGTAAGCGGGAGTAATTGGATCAGTATTTTTGTTTTATTGGCGCAGTGGTTCCCATGTGTACGTACGCAATTTTGAATGATACGGCATAACTTTAATAATTTATTGCAAATTATTTCGCGGACCCCCAAGCTATGGCTCACGGACCCCCGGGGGTCCGGGACCCCAGTTTCAGAACCGCTGCTTTAAATGACTGTGGTACATATCTTGACAATAAAGAAAGATTGATCATATCCAGTAAAGAGTTACCAATTAAGGGTACAAATTCTTAAAGCAGCCTAGTTGGGATGGGGTCTAACAGACAGGTTGATGGCTTATTAAATCAGAACACAAACATTATTTCTGCTAGAGAACAATGTAAAATACCTCATCTGTGCCAAGCAGACTCCACGTCTCCCACTTATGTTTAGTAGTAAATAACAGCTGCCAATAAGTGTTTACGCCCCAGGGTCAAGTGAGATGCTCGTTTTAGATGCAGCTAGAAGTCAGACAAAACCAGCAGCAGTCTAGCATTGTTGTGAAATCCAAATTATACAACACAAATACATAAATTACAAAACTAGACCCCTCTCGTTCTTATTAGCAAAGAGCAGTGTACACAATTTTAAGGTAACAGCTGCTGAACGTCACTGTCATCACAAAAAATGACAGCATTCATAAAATGTCTGTTCACACACTGGCAATGTAAAGTGGTATAAATTGCTTCACAATTTTACATATTGCACCTTTTTATCTAGAAAATAACATCCCAATTCCTGGAATAACAACTCAATTCAGGCTATTAACCTATTAACAGGCAATATCGAGGCTAATTATTCTGCCATAGGGGATATCTTTTACAAAATGGGATTGTGTCATAGGCCCTCCCCATACATGGCATTAAAATGCGTCTAGGTTGATCCAATCACAAGTGTGCTACGTCAGCTCACACCATGCATTAAAATGTGCCTCCACATGCCACACTAAACTACTTTATCAGCCTGATGTTTTTACATTACAGATGATGAAGAAGGCATTGTGTGAAAATAGACTTCATACTTTTAAAATTGCACTAAAACATACTGGAATAATTTTACTTTACATTTTGTTAAGACATACAACAACATAATACATTACAGAAAGGCACCTAATCTCTGTGCTCTTTATCCATGCTATTTCCACATATCTGATTTCTTTTGCAGGGGATCTAATGGGGAAGCTGAGCCTCCAGCTATAGGATTTTGGAATGACTGGAAAGATGTGTGCTCCCTCTTGTCCCCTTTTTCCAAATCAATCAGAAGAGCAATATAGGACAGCATGCTGGAAAGCTAGACAGCTTTTTCAAGTCAAGCCATGTGAGGAGAGTGTTTTCACCACGATATGCGATAATATTCTATATTGTCCTATTCCTAGTCACTCCAGTCAGTATGCTAGGACAAACAGACAGTGTTTTTACAAAAATAAACAAATAACTTAATGTATAACCTTTGTTGGATTTACAAGATACGGTCAAATTGTTGTGGTTACTAGTTCACCAGTTGAAACAGTGTGTTCACAAACATCTACTGCTTACCTTGGCAGTTAAGAGAGCCCAAACACACAATTTGCATAATAACTAATCAAAAAGTTACAGGATGTCAGTTGAGTAGGCGGTCCTTCAGTGTGGCATTTACACTACCAAAGATATGTGGTCAAATGTGTCTCTGACAACTTATGCAAGAGGTTTGATTGATCATCTCACAATGTGTGTTGGCGGTCGTTGTGCAATTACTCACTTGTACTTAGAGCTGTCCACTTGTGATCTGATCACCAAAGACACGTTTATGTAAACAGGGCCTAAGTGTCTGTCTGTTTGTTTACACAACAATCATCCCTCCCCTGTTTTAAGGGCGTGCGCGCACACACGCACTGCTAGATTCAAATCCAGATATGAATTCCTTAAGCTGACTTTCCAAGCTTACAGCATAAAGTTTGTATTATTTGTGAAATTTACCAATAAATGTAATCAAACACATGATCCTGAAGGGGTAGTACCATGGCACACCTAATATTCAGTAATGATAATTGTCTGTGGCTGGGTTGTGGGTTGTGCTTAACCATGGCCTTTTCCAGGCAACACCCTGATACATACACACACACACACACACACACACACACACACACACACACACACACACACACACAGTCTGCTAAAGTTCAAATCCAGATATGTATGTCCTTTTGCTAACTTTCAAGGAGTGTGCAGCACAGTTGTCTGTTCATTGGATTTTTAAAATAAAGTTTCTCCTCAACAACTGATCTTTAACAATCCTTCGAAACAGTGTTCACAAACATATGCTGCTTATCCTGGCAGTTAAGAGACCCTAAACACCTAATTTGCATTACAGTGAACCATTTGAAAATCAGGCAGCATGTTTCATGTGTAGTTAATGGTGCCAGTTAAGTAGGTCATCCTTCACATGCAGCCCAGACCATCTCTGTATATGGTCTGAGTGATCAGATCTCCTGTACCATCCACTTGTGACCAGATCCCCAAGACAGATGATAGTGCCAGGTCAAAAGCAGGCCATGCATGACAAACACTTTCCTTTGCTCCATGCAGGTAAAGCGAGAGGTGGGCGACGTCAGCATTCTGGTAAACAATGCCGGCATCGTGACAGGAAAGAAATTCATGGATGCTCCTGATTCCCTGATTGAGAAGACAGTGGAGGTCAACACTATGGCTCACTTCTGGGTCAGTCAGACACAGCAGACACGCAGAGCTGGCAGCTTGAAAATTACTACACAGTCAGTTTAGGCTTTTCATAAGGTTTTCTGGCTACTTTATCTGAGAAAACATGCAGATTTATAGACAGATTAGGCAATATTGTAGTGATGAATTTAACATTTTGTTTAGCCTTTGCTCCAGTCACATGATGATAACTGAGTAATCGACAGACTAATCAAGATAATTCATGAAAACAACTTACAGTATATTTAAATGATTATACAGAAAAGTGGTTGTTAAGATTCTTTATACTGTTTAAAATTTCCTGTCTCTCTCCACTCAGACCTACAAGGCCTTCCTTCCTGCCATGATTGCCAACAATCATGGCCATCTTGTCAGCATTGCCAGTTCTGCTGGACTCATCGGAGTGAATGGATTGGCAGGTGTGTGTTTCCTTCTCCTAATTATATCATGCATGTCACTAATCCTAAAGGTGCGTGTACACTTTTTACGTGATTGCAGCTATAACCTTTTCCGATTGTCATTAGTTTTTATTTGTAGAAAAACTAGATCATTCTGGTGAAAATTTGATAGTGTAATGGTAGGATTGCCATTTTTAGTGTCACCTTGTTCATGTTAGCCCATTTCTGTTTGCAATCAGTAGCAAGTTGTATCCATACCACCAACGTCATTTTCAGTTAACACAGAGCTGTGATAGCTCTACGTCTTTTATGCTATTTAAAGAAATATGTTGATTTTATTATATATAGAGCAACTTTAAATGACCTTTACAGCTGCATCTGTGTGGCCATTTTTGTTACCATTTTCCAGTCACAATATTTTTAGCTAGGTATGTCCCCATTCCTAGTCCAGCCTATAAAACTCTTGATTGGTTGATGGTTTCTTCAGCTGGGGGAAACTTCAGTTAGTACAACACCAGACCTTTGTTTCTCAGTGATTGCAAAATTAATGATGGGGCAGCTGTGGCTCAGGAGGTAGAGCGGGCCATCCACTAATCAGAAGGTTGGCGGTTTGATCCCTGGCTCCTCCTGCTGTATGTGGAAGTGTCCTTGAGCAAGATACTGTACCCAAAATTGCTCCCGATGCTGTGCATCAGTGGATGAATGCGGATGAACAAACTTTCTGTTTGTGATGGCCTTTTTTGCCATCCATGTATGAATGTGAAATATAGTGTAAAAGCTTTGAGTGGTCAGAAGACTTGAAAGGTACTTTACAATTACAGTCCATTTCCAATGATGTGAGTGGTGATTCAGAGGTCTGGAACTAGGCAGGAGCAACTGGTAGTTCATGTCAGGGCTTCCCAAATTTTTTCATGTCAAGGGCTATGCTAGATTCACATTAAACCACGGACCTGCAATTTCAGAGGACTTTTTCCCCTCTAAATAGTCTTTTTCGTTTTTTTTGTTTTGAAGATAATAAAGTCTAAAAAGTAAATCAATGATTGAACTAGGATAATAAATTACAATCAATCATTAAAATATTCTATTTCTCCTTTTGCTGTGGACCTCTCAAGGACCCTTGTTGGTCCCCGGACCCACGTTTGAAAACCACCGCTTCAGGGACGATCACTGCATCCTTTTATTGATCGGTAAAAGGCTGTATAAGACTGATCGATTTCCACTCTCATGTTTCTTGTATCCCATTGTGCTCTGGATACACAAGCTGTAGAGAACACTTCGTTGTGATCTTTTAAATCAGTAGAACTGTTTTCTGACTCACTGTTGTGAGTGACTCAACCTCTGAGCATCACAAAGTAAACAGCAGCCTGAAGTATTCACACTGACGTGTGTCAGCAAGGGATTCAAGCAGAGCTGATTTTAGGTTGAAAAAACAAAACAGAACAATTTTGTCTCTATATTAGTGTCATAAGCCAGGTCTCTAACATCATTATTATTCAAAACTGCATTTGAACGGTTTTCCAGATATTATACATTATAATGCCATAGAAGATATGGGAAACAGTTAACCCTTTAAATTTTACCCCAAAAATGTGTTGCCTTTTTTCATCTGATTGCTTTAGAAGCCTTCATGAATTGGTTAACCTACAGAATCTGAGCACTGTTACTGGTATTAAAAAAAAGATCAATCATGAGAAATCAACGTTATAAAGCTATAATATGTAACACAGTACCACACACTACACTTTCCATTTCAGTCATTGGTTGTCTGGATCTTAAGTTATCAGAGAAATGAGCTGAGTTAACAATTAGCAGCAGCTCTGCTTGCAGCCCCTGCGGGATGTCCTTTGTCTGCTGTGTCACAAAAACTGGTTTTGATCAGTGGGTCTGTTTGTTTTTAAGAGGAGACCTGGATAATTCAGCCTTTGGTAAAAATCTCCTAAACGATGAAAACTGAAGAAATCCTAAGTGGAGAAGCTGACTGCAGTGGTGTTAAAGACAACAACTCTCATGATCCCATGCTACTTCTTGAAATCATGAAACTAAATCTTGTTATTGTTTTGGGTGTGAGAGAAACCCTAGTGGCAGACATTACATATTTTACGTTTAAATTAATCATAGCTATTTTACTTAATGTTAAGTATTTCATTCATATTTTATGTCTGTTGTGTTTCCGGTCAAAGAAATGACCAATCATTTCAGTAAGGTGTTGGTGGAGTGGGTCACCGAAGCTATTCCATCATCCAACAACCAATTCTGATGCAGTATGCTGGCACCTTACTTTGGGAGGCAGAGCAAGCTTGATTGGCATTGTGGGGTGGCGCTTTGTGGTGCTGGCTGTAAAATTGCAAGCTAGTTAGTAGCATGGAGTCAGTGCTCCAAATAAAATATAGGAACGTTACAGATAGTAACATTATTCTAAATATGATTGAATGCTGAAAAATAAATTACAGTGTCACTTTCGGCCTGATGATGCTGGCTCCCTCCCACAGACTGTGTACGGAAAGCGAGCAACAAGACACACCAGAAAAAGTTTTTTCTCAAAGTTACATATAGAACCTTTTATGAAACAATTGAAGTTAAAAGAGAGCCATTTCCTTTGTTTCCCTTCTCCTCTTCTCTCTACTACTACTGTGATTAAACCATTTTTTTGTTTTATGGTTTCATCACTCATGCTGCATCATGTATCGTGTATTCAGAGAGACATGATAAAAACCCTAAATTACTGAGATGAACTAAAAATGGTTTTAATTAAAGTTAGAAGTTTGCTGGTCCTGTCTAAGTGTCTGTACTTTGCGGAAACAATCTGCAGCTTCTGTAACATCAGTCTTTATAATCTATTTTCTGTCTAAATGAGGAATCTTTTCTTACATCTGAAACATTTATCTTATCTGTATTATAGTTGTATCTATTTTTAGGTATGATCCTCTCAAACATACTACCAGTTCTGCACATTCCGTCACTGCTCTTTTGAACTCTGTCCTAATTCTATCTCCCAACCCCAGGGTGGAGTTATGAACTTTGGTCAATGGATAGAAGACAATCCACCTGCTGGAAAGTAGTTTCCAAATGATTGATTAATGTAGAGACCACAAAATAAAAATCTCCAGTCAGGTTACTTAAACTGATCATAGTTAGATTGACAAAGTTTTGCCTAAAAGTTAATTTTACAACTTAATCTTACCAAACCTTTTCTTCAATGTAACAATAAGGCAATCCTTAGCAATCAAATGAGTTTATTATGAGATGGTCTTGGGCCGGTGAATATTACTCCTTATTCCACAAGACTGACTTGCCCTCTCACCTGTATTTGTCAAAGATTTTAGTGCCTTATCACCTATAACCCTGCCTGTTTCAGTTTATGTAATGTGTGTAGCCATGGCATAACATCATTAGTGTCCTCTACCAGCTGTAATGTGATAAGCAAAAGTCACATAATGGCTATAAATGTGGAAGGGAGGTGCAGATTTAGTACACGTGTCTACTTGAATATAAGTAAACATAAACTGAGAAGATACAATGCACTCCACTGAAAGTACCCCTGCATGGATTTTCAGATAAGGGGACAACTTGATGACCTGGGCTTGTTTTCCAGCTTTTAAACTAATCCTACACCCTGAAATCAGGGTGTTAAAATTATTAAGATTTTTCACTGCCTAGAAAGACAGTAATCTTAATAATAATTAAAGCTGCAAGCAGCATTGGACGGGACCTCGCACTCCATGCAACTCGGGCGCCACGCCACATCACCCCATGCCCAAGCCTTCATCGCCGGAAGCTGAGGGAGACCGCTCTACATTGTCACATGTTTCAGACACCGTGCAAAAGACTTACACTTTCATAGCAAGGTTCTTCACTGCAAAACTTGGAAATTCAGCACCACGCCACGGACGCACAGTAAATATTTGATTAACTTTTGATCACCAATGTGTCTAGATTGCAGTGATCGAATTTGAAGTCAATCCGATAAAATTTGTAGGAGGATTAGTTCAAATTGAAGCCCTGAAATGCCAGAAATGGCATCACAATTTGACATTTGATTCAAAATGGCTAACTTTGACGGCACGTCACAGACGTGCCCTTCGACATGCAGTCACAAGTAGCACATCTTTTATTCAGCAACATTTTTCAAGTATACTGTCCAATTTTGAAGCAGATCCGACAAATTCCCTAGGAGTTCGTTTGTTCAAATACAAGACCACGGAATTCAAAATGGCCAACTTTGACGGCACACCACAGACACGCCCTTCAACGTACAGTCACAAAAAGCACTTTTTGAAGCAGATCCCAGAAATTCCCTAGGAGGAGTTTGTTCAAATACAAGCCCAAAAAGTCGAAATGACCATTGAAAATTAAAATCGAAATTGCAGACTTCCTGTGGGTTTTGGGGCATGGGTCTAAGAGGCTTTTTTGTACGTCTCGGCACCTTACAGATGCCTACTGAGTTTCATACATATCAGTCAAACGTGGCGCCGGGGCTGCTTTTTAAAAGTCCTGTAGGGGGTGCTACAAACACGATTTTTGGTATGTGAGCTACAGGCACCAGTCTACAAGGTTGGTGTAAATCGGACATACCAATGTGGAGAAATACCCCACTTCTTTTTTTGACGAAAAATCAACAGGAAGTGCTAATTTTATAACTTCCTTATTTTTTGAAAAATCAAAATATGTCCGAATCGGACAAAAGCGCATGGATGGATCACGAAAACATAGTTTTTGGACATTTTGCGCTCTAGCGGGAAAAAAATCTAGACGGAAGTGGGCGTGGCCTATATAGGGAGCTTCAGCTCCATTCACAGCGGTCGCTGGCTCGGTCCCTAATAAACTGAGCAATTACAATAGGGTCCTCCTAGTGTTGACACTGGCTCAGTCCCTAATAATAATAAAAAGACCAAAAACTATAGGGACCTTCCAGCGGTCGCTGGCTCAGTTCCTAATTATATCCATCACCTTACTCCTGAGCATAAACTGACCTCTGTTTCCTTTACCTGTGACCCCTCTCCCCACAGACTACTGTGCCAGTAAATTTGCAGCAGTAGGTTTTGCAGAGTCAGTAGGTCTGGAGTTGCTGGCAACTGGGAAAGATGGCATCAAGACTACCATTGTGTGCCCGTACTTCATCAACACTGGAATGTTCGATGGATGTCAAACTAAGTAGGTCTCTTTACATGATGTTCACCTTTGACATTTTTGTTTCATTTCAGGTAGTTAGCACTCAAACAAACGAGTCATTTAAAGAATCTGCACATGTAAACACGGGTTAATGTCAGTACGACAGATTTTTGTCAATTGGGGCCAATGCAATGCAAAATATACATATATTTAAATAATCCCAACCCCTGCAAAAATAAATATAACCAAGTGTGGTGTGGCTGACCTGGTGGTATGAAATGTTACATCTGTCAGCCTCTCCTCCCAGCCAATTACCCTTGGTCCAGTCTCATCTCTGTGACACGAGGATAAAGAGAAGAGTGAAGATGGACTAACAAAAAGAGACAAAAACAAAAAGGAGACTTTTGATCCACGGGTTGGGATTATGATCCCATCATGGTTTGTTATAAAAAAGATATAAATTGAGCAATTGAGGAAATATGTAATTTCAGTAAACCATCCCTTTTTAAGCATTGTTATAGTGTTATTGTTATAATTTAATTAACACACACAGTTGTGGTTAGGTGTATCAGCACCCTGAAAATTGCAAATGAGTAGTCACCAGTGGAATTGACATCCCATCTAAAATTATTTCTGAAGAAAATGGCAGCCATCATGTCAGCAGTTTATCAGCCACCAGCACTAATCACATCACAGACAATGCCATTATGATGCTTCTTTGATCAAAAAGACAATAATGCTCTCTTTGCGTTGCTCTGTTGGCTTCAAATTATTGGCTATTGTCACCTCAGCTTAGCTCTGCTTGGCTCAAATGAACCAATCACACACATTCTCTCCATCTCTTTTCCCATTATTTTCTCTTCTGATGTCACTGTCCTCCACCTATTTATTTATAATCTTTTTCTTTTTGTGTAAAATGCTATGTCACTATAGGGATTTATGCAAATGGATAAAATGTGTGTTTTCTTTTAAGATGTTACTTGTTAAGCTCCTTGGCTTTAGTAATCACATTCTCGCCTATGTTCATCGATTCCTATCATTTCCTGTGGTTGGTGTATGTATGTGTTTCTTTTTGCGTGTAACAGTCCGTACAGGAAGCCATTAGCAGTGCTATCTGTGGGCTTTATGGCCTGGTTGTAATGGCCAGTGCTCAGAGGACTGGTGTGAGATTTACTGACTTTTCATGGCAGAGGAGAGGAGGAATTGAACAGGGGAAAGGGGAATAAAGAGGAGACATGAGAATCATAGTTTATGTAACTTGGCAAGTCAGGTAAGCACAAGGTCTTATTTATAATGACAGCCCAAGCTAGGGACCTCCAGGGGAAGAAAAAAGAAAAGAAAATGAATCAGGAAATGAAGGATTGAAAATAAAAGGAGAGGGACTAAAGAAAGAAGAGAAAGATGAAGCGTAATATTTGGTAACACTTTATAATGAGTACACACTATTAAGCATTAGTTAAGCATGAATTAATAATGAATTCATCATTTATAACGCATGAATACACATTAGTATGTAGTTTATAAACACAGTTAAAAATGTTTTATTCATCATTGATAAGCTATGGATTAGTAAATACTGAATTCATATTTTATAAAGCATGATTCTGCTGTAAATAGTCATTACTATGTGGTTTATAATCGCAGTTATAAATGTTTTACTCTTCATTGTACTGTACATTTCTGCATGCACTTGCACATCCACTATTCAGACATGTATTAATGATTAGTGACTGTGTTAGCAGATGTTCTATAAAACTCACAACAAATTCATTTTCTAATGATGGCCTATAAACAGTTATTAATGCAGGAATTCACAGTTACAAAGCACTTACTACTCATTAATTAAGTATTTTGCGCGAGCTTATCTTAAGTGAGCACTATTTATGGCTTATTAAGCATTTACAAATGAGATATAAAGGCTGACAATGCCTCGAGACTCACAAAGTTTTCAGTTTATCTTAACAGACGAAGGAGAGACACACCACAAAGGGATATAGAACATACTGTATTGACATTTATTGCAACTTCCCAACATATTGTATGAAGACGAACAAGGGTGGTTTATGAACACATGCTATTGTTGTGATCTTATCTGTTTGGGACGTGTACGTTGAGCTAGCAATCCCGCTCTCAGACTGAGAGGGACTGACTGTTACGTCATATTTACGTTACCTCTCAGAAGTTTCTGACAGTGCAGCCAAGGGGAGCATGGAGAAGCACATTGGAGTCGGCGGCCGTCAGCGGCTCTAGTGGTGAGTATGTGTCTTTGTTTGGTAGCACACATTATGGTTGAAAGCTAACGTTAGCTTGTCAGCAGCTGCAGGTGTTTGCCCTCGCTCCCCGACTAACGTTACTAACGTTACTAACGTTACCGACCTGCCTGCGGTGGCTAAGCCGACCTAGTCTAGTCTCGTCTAGCCGGGCGAGGTGAGTGCCTAGCAGCGGCAGGTCGGCTTAGCCACCGCGGGCGGGTCGGTAACGTTAGTAACGTTAGTCGTTACTGTCAAGTGACAAGCTAACGTTAGCTTTCAGCCATAATGTGTGCTACCAAACAAAGACACATACTCACCACTAGTGCCGCTGACGGCCGCAGACTCCAATGTGCTTCTCCATGCTCCCCTTGGCTGCACTGTCAGAAACTTCTGAGAGGTAACGTAAATATGACGTAACAGTCAGTCCCTCTCAGTCTGAGAGCGGGATTGCTAGCTCAACGTACACGTCCCAAACAGATAAGATCACAACAATAGCATGTGTTCATAAACCACCCTTGTTCGTCTTCATACAATATGTTGGGAAGTTGCAATAAATGTCAATACAGTATGTTCTATATCCCTTTGTGGTGTGTCTCTCCTTCGTCTGTTAAGATAAACTGAAAACTTTGTGAGTCTCGAGGCATTGTCAGCCTTTATATCTCATTTGTAAATGCTTAATAAGCCATAAATAGTGCTCACTTAAGATAAGCTCGCGCAAAATACTTAATTAATGAGTAGTAAGTGCTTTGTAACTGTGAATTCCTGCATTAATAACTGTTTATAGGCCATCATTAGAAAATGAATTTGTTGTGAGTTTTATAGAACATCTGCTAACACAGTCACTAATCATTAATACATGTCTGAATAGTGGATGTGCAAGTGCATGCAGAAATGTACAGTACAATGAAGAGTAAAACATTTATAACTGCGATTATAAACCACATAGTAATGACTATTTACAGCAGAATCATGCTTTATAAAATATGAATTCAGTATTTACTAATCCATAACTAATGTGCTTATCAATGATGAATAAAACATTTTTAACTGTGTTTATAAACTACATACTAATGTGTATTCATGCGTTATAAATTATTTATTCATGCTTAACTAATGCTTAATAGTGTGTACTCATTATAAAGTGTTACCTAATATTTTTATGGAACGTGAAATAGAACAGTAGGATTACAATACAGTACATACACCGAAGTGCTTTCCAAGCCTCCATTTCAAAGTTCCCAAAATTAACCACATTAACATTAACATTAACACAAGAAACCTATATTCAAAAGCATTGACAGTATATATAGTGGACAGAGTTTGCCTGTTTCTCACCTAAAATTGTTTCAGAAACATATTTCAGTGTCTGTAATACGAGAACGTGTGTGACTGGTGAGCTGCCATTGTGTCCTGCTATGGACAAGTCAAAACTGCGCAGCCAATGAGAGAAGCTCCACTGCTGGCTCTGAAAAACTGTCATGGTGACTGACTGTAATGCCAAACCTGAGGCTTCAAAACGGTACTCCACAAACCAATGAGTGGCATCACAATAGGTTCACACTTGAGTCTTGACGACATCTGACAAAATAAGATAAATGCAGGCTAAAGACAAAAACTCTGTTGTGTATTCGCCATATTGGCATTTAAAATGATCAATCATGGAGAAAGTTACTTTACTGGCATACTGACTCCGGCCCTCATTGGCTGCCTTGCAAAAGTTCTGTTAAAGATCAAGTGTGGAGCATTTGGCGGCAATGAAGTTGCAAATCCCAACTCCCTTGTTTCACTCTGCCCTTCCAACACGAAGGACAAACTACGGTGGCTCATGGCTGGTCCTGTCTAGAGCCAGTGTTGGTTTGTCCGTTCTATTGTAGAAACATGGAGGGTGACCTGCGGCGTCACGCCTTGAAGCGCATAACATGTAGGTTGTAGCGACAGTCCTTAATTCAACTGAAATATCCAAAATACACAAACCAACCACATTGTTTGACTGAAAAACTGCTGTTTTTTAATTAAACTGAATGAAATTAGAGAACCTTTTTGAGCCTTTCTACACCTCAAAAATGTATGTATTTGTGTTGTTTCATGTTTCAGTAGGGATGAATTGTCTAATTTTTGCCTACTTTTGCTCCTATTGACAAAACACAAAATAATGTGTCTTTGGTGACATTTAAACTGGCAGACGTGGAACTTACAGTGTTTCTTTTTTTACCTACTAATATACACACTCACACACACATCTGGCACCATTGTGGTATACTTCTGGATGTCTTGGGGTCAGGTTTTAAAGGCGTCTGTAGACTTGTGTCCATGTTTATTTCCATCTCTCTGCCTTCATTCATCCAACAGCCGCCTGAAGCCACAAGGACACATGCTTTACGCCAAAGCCAAACACCTGGCCTGTCACTTTCTACTACTCCATCAGTATGAGGTCCCTAAAATAACAACAAATCATCCTAAAAAACTTTGACATGCTTTAAATGGTGTAAAATGTCCCAGTTCAAATGAATTGTTTGCTCTGTGTAATGACAGCTGTTCATATTTAGATGAATTATTTTTGGAGCAGTCTGTCTACTTAACAAATGCCACTGGACGTATATTTCTTGCACTGGCAACAGGGGGATTAACTCTGCTTTTGAGAAATTGTGGGGCCTAATTATTACTCTCAAGTCATTTATACCCATCCTGAGCCGTGTCCCTGGTCTTTCCTCCTTGTTGTTAAAACATTAGATACAATTTTTTTTAGAAGCATAGGGTGGTTTACCTCACTGGTTAACTAATGCAGTAATGTGTACTGTGATCTTTGACATTAAAATTATTTGGATAGAAGCAAAGGTATGCATGAATGAAGTGAGCAAAATTAAGGATTGACCAACATGTTTTTTCACACAGATTATTAGTAATCAAGGAAACCGACAACCGATGTGTAGAACCGATGTACATTTACAGTAAAATATCTTAGTGTAAAAATTAAGAATAAAGTGTTTGAGTGTAACTAAGTTCATTTACTTAAGTGCTGTACAATTATGATGCACTTTACACGTTCTTTGCTTGAGTATTTGCATTTCCCCGTCCGTGGCACAGTAGCCTTTAGTGTTGATAAGCCATTACTCGTGATGTGTAACCAATCAGATACTGTACTGATACAGTACTGTGGGTATCAGAGCCAAAGTAGCATTTTAATTTAAAAATATATTCATTAGATCTGATTAGAAAGATAACATTTCAGAAAATTGGAAAAATATATTATTGAATATTGGATCTGATAATCAACCAGGCTGATAATTGATCTAAGCCATTTTGGTCTCTAGGACATAACATTTACATGTACATGTTAATTGGACAAGGTTTCAGTACAAGACAAAAAAAGTTTCAGTACAAAAATAATAAAAGGTCTAATAAAAAGTTTTAACTTGAACTGATTGTTAAATCAGCACTCAACTCGCATTTATACATGTTCAGAAATGGCATTTTATAGAGCTCTACCTAGCTGTCATACCTAGTCTGCCTAGGCATCTCTTGTAGGGCAAACGGGAACGTGATAATTGTTGGTAAGTGGTTCAGTTCTGTGAGCAATTGTATTTTCACTTAATCCTTTTTCTTGTCTGCAGGTGGCCAAGATTGCTGCCAATCCTGAATCCAGACTATGTAGCCAAGAAGATCATCCATGCTGTGCTAACAGACCAGGTCTTCCTGCTGCTGCCCAAGAGCTTGTACTTCATTGCAGCTCTTAAGAAGTTAGTGTCTACCTTTTCTTTTCTCTCCCACATAACTGCACTGAGGTTGCACACATCCCTCTACATATAGAGCTTGCCACTGAATACCATATCTACTGAGTCAGTCATTCAGTCAGTGCAGTCATTTTTAGAAATAAAATAATTCATACCCATTACCTACTGCTCTTTTTATACACCCGGGACACACTGCCTGCGTGATTGTTGCACATATCCTTCATAATTGAAATAATTCTACTGACTTGGTGTACCTCTTTAGACAGCTGTTTTCTACAGGTATTGACACCTAAATGACATGGACATAAGCAGCCCATTACTGATCCTGTCAGCTGGTATCATGAATGCTGCTCTTGTACTTGTACCAATGGCTCATTAGTATTCAGTGCCACTTTGAGTCTAATGTAGCATATCTGACCACATGGTGTTATGGTGAAGGCTTCCAAGAATGTTTGTGGTTTTTTTAAGCTTAACTCTGGTGCTACTGACTTTTCTGTCCAGGTTTTAGCTCAATCGTTAATTAGTCTGTCGCTATTGTTGTGTAATAGTAGTATGAAGTAAAGACCATTAATGACTTAATTCATATTATTGATGATCACACCACTAGTATTTTCTTTTTCATGCCCTTGCTCAACTGTGAGACATGCACCCCCACCCCCTGCTCCCTGACATGACCCTAAAGCTTGAAGTCAAGGGTTAGAGGTCAGCCTGACTAGAACAGGTGGCCTCAAAGTGCAAGGATAATTCCATTTAGCCTTCAGGTTGTAAATCATCTTCATAGCTTTCATATTTATGTGAAATGGTTAACACACGCCAAGCTAGTGCTTAAAATCTCAAGTTTCTTTCTTAGTAGTAAGTTTAGTGAGAAGTCCAAATCAGGTAGGGTGGCCTTTCAGATGCTGCAGCGGAAACACCCCCCTCACATAAATTCTTGAATGGGGTTAGTGCGTTTAGGCTGCGGCAGGTTGGAGGCAACCTACAGCTGAGACGTTGAAACAGAATCAGAGAAAAAGAGCACGACGTCATGTTGTGGTGGCAAGTCTGGTGATCAAGCTAGTCCAACTGCTACACAGTCAGCCTGTAATATCACTGAAACAGGCACTGTGCAGACAGAGTTCATGGACCAACTATGACAAATGATGATACGCTACCAATTTTGTTCATTTTATGTAGCCAGCTTCAGTATTTGTGTCTGGCTTGTGGTCTATTCTGCAAAATAGTGCTACCAAGAAGCTTTTTATGGTTGAACTACAGGGACAGGGAATGGCAAAGAGAGAGAGCTGGTAGAGAGAAAACAGTGAAATAAAATGTTTCACAGTGGCCACATCCCAAAGTACATTTAAACACACCCAAACTACTGCACAATACTGCGGCTAATTACCACAAAGCCTGATTTGGTCTGAATTGGCCCTTAGTGTCTTGATTGAACTTGGACCCCGCTGCATGGTGACCCCCTAAGCCTTTATGGCTTGCTTTTATGGCATAAAAATATCTTAAATATAATTTTAGGTAATTAATTAATTATTAGGTCTTCAAAATTGATTGGATTAATGAAGTTAATATTACTTGTACAAAGTTGCATTTTACAATCTTGCTTTTAAATGTGTTTGGGGGAAAAATTCTAATAGATCATGCTGTAACAATTACAAAATGAAACCCACATGGAACCAATGGAGTTAGATTGTCTCTTTATTACATGCGAGAAAATAAATGATCTGAGGGAAAAAAATGTTTGAGAGAAAAAGTTATCACACTGATAGCAAAAAGCATTTTATGAGAGAAAAAAAAAACATTTGAGAGAAAAAGTATTCATACCAATAGCAAAAAATAATAATATTTGAGACAAAAAAAAGTTTTGAGAGAAAGTATTTTCTCATAGAACATAAAAAAAATATATTTGAAATTTTTAAAATTATTTCTGAGAAAAAAAATCTCTCAGAATACTTTTTTTAACTCAAATATTTTTTTGCTATCAGTGTGAAAAAACTTTGAAAAAACGTTTTTCTTCTCTCTCTCAAAACCTAAGTCTTTGCTCTCGATGCAATTTCTTGCTTTAGTGTCAGGATTTTGCTCTCGCTGTGAAAATAATAATGCTAATTAGGGTAGAAACTCTCACGACTCACTAAATAAGGAGTAAAACTATCTAAATCAACATATTCATTTGGCATTTGATTTAAAAATAGTATAAACCAGGTGAGTTTGCAAGTTTACCTAGCATGATGGCTAATTAGCGATTAGCTTTACTAGCGATTAGCATGCTAATACTATAATACTCATTCATGAATATGAGTGCTATTCTTGTCCATGACAATCTGACAAACACATCAATAATGGCAAACTAGCTTACATTTAGGATAGCCTATTTAATGTTTAATCTTCAGTGATGTTAGCTGAGCTGAACTCCACATTACTAACCAATTAAACATCCTTTAATACCTCTGATCTGTTACTCTGTAACCGTTAGGGCTACACAGTCGTTCCTATGATGGGAATGATTTTGATTACCAACTACCAACATCGAGTTGTGTGTGTCATCATCTTACCCAAACATTGGAGTCTCCGCGCTCAACTAAGGCAGCACATCTATGCCGGCGAATCGACAATGGTGTAGTGATTCAGTTCGACTCCCAAGAAGATTCTCACCCCACTGGCCAATAGGAACGTGGCCCGCCCATGACATTATTTTCACAGCGAGAGCAAAATCCTGACAAGAGAGCAATAAATTGCATCGAGAGCAAAGACTTAGGTTTTAAGAGAGAGAAGAAAAACGTTTTGAGAGAAAAAAAAATTTTTTGAGAGAAAATGTTTTCACACTGATAGCAAAAAAGTATATATTTGAGAGTTAAAAGAAAGTATTTTGAGAGAGATTTTTTTTTCTCAGAAATAATTTTAAAAATTTCCAATTTATATTTTTTATGTTCTATGAGAAAATACTTTCTCTCAAAACTTTTTTTACTCTCAAATATTATTATTTTTTGCTATTGGTATGAAAACTTTTTCTTTCAAATATTATTTTTTCTCTCATAAAATGCTTTTTTGCTATCAGTGATAACTTTTTCTCTCAAACATTTTTTTTCTCTCAGATCATTTATTTTCTCACATGTAATAAAGACACAAATCTAACTCCATAGAACCATTACTAACTTTCCTTGATATCCTTCATACTTTTTTGCCAATATAGATGTGAAAGCTTTTAAATGGCATCCATAATGATCTTTAAAAGACTTAAATTAAACCTTATGAAACCTGCAGAAGCCCTGCTTTAATTGTGTTCACTGTATTAATTGAGGAATATAGCAGCTACTTACATTAAGTGCAGGAAGAGACTTTAAGATATTCTGTGAGGGGGAAATTGTGAAATCTGTCTGCATTCAAAATCATACTGGGCAATCATTTTGTTCACAGTGAGCTACTATACAGCCTGTGACTCAAATTAAAATTAATTTGCAATTCAAATAATTAATTATACCTATTTCAATGCACATTGTACGCTACTGTTCAACATTTTAGTGTTGTTTATAAATCCTGATGAATTACCATTTGTACAGTAGGGGTGTAAGGAAATATTGATATATAATTTTGGGAAATTTGTGTCGATTCTGTAATAAATTCAGATCCCAGTTCATTTATGTGAACTTTTTTTAATTCCAATTGTATATATGTGGTGATGGTTTTTTTTAATACTATGACAGATTTCCTAAAGAATATTTTTTTTAAATGGCAGTATATCACCTTGCTTAGAGTTTTGCAATATATTGAACTGTAACCCCTGAATCACCTGTATCACCTATGTCACAGTTTATATTTCTTTGGCCATTTTACCCATGCACAACTAGGATTAGGCTCTGTTTAACAGATAGCAAAAAGCATGGTGAGTTAAAGGCATCCTTAGGTTCTCTTTACATGGAAATTCAATTCAATTCAATTCAATTCAATTTTATTTGTATAGCGCCAATTCATAACAGAAGTTATCTCAGGACACTTTTCAAATAGAGCAGGTCTAGACCGAACTCTTTAACATTAATTACAGAGACCCAACAGTACCACCATGAGCAAGCACTTGGCGACAAGGGCAAGGAAAAACTGCCTGTTAAAAGGCAGAAACCTAGGACAGATCCTCCGGCTCTAGGTGGGTGGTCGTCTGTCTCGACCAGTTGGGGTGAGAGAGAGAGAGAGAGAGAGAGAGAGAGAGAGAGAGCGAGAGACAGACAGACAGGCAGACAGACAGACAGACAGGTGCACAGCAACAACAGTATTGGCAATGGCAGTCAAGCAGGACCATGGCAGGAGGCTCCACCAGGATCCATGAGAACCTGCGAGACGAGAAAGCACAAGAACTCCGGGGAAGAAGTGGAGTTAGTAACATGCATTAATGGGACATGAATGAGTGCAGAAAGAGAGAGGAAGAGAGTAGCTCAGTGCACCATGGGAAATATAGCAATATGGCTGGGAGATGACTCGCCGAAACATTTTCCTTTGACCAGGGGTCTATGTTTTGTGTCTGTTACACCAGGTAATGTGTTTTTGTGCAATGGCCTTGGTTACAATTGGTCTTGTAATGGCAACACTGCACATGAATTCCATTTTGCTGCTCATGACGTACTGTTTTTATTGAGAAGGGTCACAGGTGCTGATTCAGTGCTGTGGTAATTTTCAGTCCGTACCTCTGTGGCATTAATCATCTACTACCACAACCCATGTTGTGTTGATGAGCTTCTGTTTGTTACCAGTGTTCTATAAGCCAGTGTATATTCGGTGTATCCTGTAATGATGTTTGCAATTGGTCCCCTTGACAAACTAAATAATTTTGTTTGCTTGTGCAATTCAGATAGTTTAGCACTTTGTTGTTATTAGAAAACCCTTCTCATTGGATCTCTTTTATAACTGATCCTCACCGATACTTGGTGAGTATGGCTGAGTGTGGTAACACTTGTAGCTGAATTTCCAAATGTGGTTTTGTCACTTAAAAGTTAAACATTTCTCATGTATTGATAGCTTAAATCACA